CCCTAAACCCCAAACCCTATCTAAAGCCCAGAACTGCCACCCAAGGTGTGAGCTCCTGGATTAGAGAAAGAGCTCAGCCGCCTGCGGCGGATTGTACATAACCTGAGTTTTGGTGGGACACTGGATGAAACTGTTTAGGGTTTAGGGCTCAGATCTAATTGTTTAGGGTTTAGAGCTCAGATTCGTTTGTTTAGGGTTTTGGAAGTATGGGCCCCCAGTTTGGGCCCTTAGGCTTTTGAGGGGGGGTTCTAGGGACCCTTAAGGGTACATATGGGGTGTATAGTAGGTACATAAGGATCCGAGGGTCAAGGGTCCATACTAGGGGCCCTTTGCTTCAACCTTGGACTGGAGTCCTAGGATAGACACGTTCCCAGGGCAAGTCTGCCTTGCAAGAGACTCAAGCAGAAGAATCTGTGGAAGTCTTAGTGTGTTGTCCCCATACTTGTAGGCAATTCGGAAATGACTTGGTGTCTCTAGATTCTGGACCTGAACAATCGGAAGATCAGATATGAATCTGCCTCTAGCACCTCCAGCTACTCCGGGTCCAGTTTCCCACCAAATTGCCTTTGATCAGAAGCGCCGCAGTGGATTGGCATGCAGAGTCTTTAAAAAGTTTCGCCTGGATGCAGATCAAGCATGGACAGCCTTTGCAGGGATTCGTCGCTGCTGTCGTATCTATGAGTTTTCCACAAGAGCATAAAACATGTGCAATGTGCACTCAGAGTGCGGTGGGTTCCGAAGCAGCTGTCAGGAAAGGACTTGTTTGCCAGACAGATAGGAAGTAGAAGAGGGGCAGGATGTGATGTAGAGGCTCCTTCCCTGGTGCCCTGGTGAGAGATGGCTTTCCAGGAGACTCACGACCTGCTGCTTTGGACTTGGGACCGCTTCTGCAGCCCAGACACAACCATCTATTCGGCCATGGTCTCAAGAACCTTTGGTCAAGATGCAGTTGCCATGTTGGCATTGCCGCATGTAGATTGCTCAGGTGTTCATCAACAGGCCTTTTTCTTGGAACTTTTTCGTCAAGGTCCATGATAGCGGCCTGTTCGAGGCCTTTTGCCAGCTTTGCAGTGCTTACCTAGCATTTCAGTGGCAAGCATTTGTCACGACCGCTGCGCCCTGCCCAACCTCTAGGAATTTGACTTCATGGTTGGCGGGTTGGCTAAAGGAATTGCCTATGCCAATCGGCAAAGCTGGTAGGTTCAGCAACTGGATGATGAGAAGGATTTCGATCCGTGTGGACTTGAAGAGGCCAGATAAGTTGCGAATCCTCTACCCCCAAATTTTAAAACCCCTGCGCCCCACCTAACATGAAATACTCCCCCCATGGTGGTATCTAATGATATATTGGGAATATTTAATATGAGGGGGGCGGTGGGGGGGGGTTAATATTAGGGGGATTGTAAGATGAGATATTCGCCTGCATGGCGAAAGATTGTTTGTGGCTGATCCAGGTCTACATTCACGTTGTCTCGCGAAAGCTGACCCAAGAGTGAGTCAAAAGCTGCGTTGCCGCGTATGAGCTGTAGTCTAAACTCCCTAAAGAGGGTTACATAGGGACTATGTCAAATTTTTATGGGGCTTATTAAGGGGAATACTACGAGTTTAGACCTTACCTTATATTTGCTCAATGCAAATATGCAGCCCGTGTTGTGTGAGACGAGCTGGCCTTTCGAAGATTGTCTTTCAGACCTCATACTGTCGATAATAGCAATACTAGTAATAATGGTGGTTGTAATAGTAATAGACATAGTAATAGCAAAAATAGTAGTAATAATGACACTCAAGGTAGTGGTAGTAGTGTAGTAGTAGTAGTAGTAGTAGTAGTGGTGTTAGAACCGCTGACTGGAAGTGGTTACTTGGCGGATTCTGTGAGAGTGTTCGCTGCACTCAAGCTTTCCCACAGACTGCAGCACGGTTCACGTCTCGCGCAACCATATGTCAGTCAACCCTAAAAAAAGGGTGCATCAGCCTAGCGAGCAACAGCATACTTCACCCGTAAGAACCAATTCCAGCTGGTCTGCACAAGAATGTCAGGAGAGTATTCGGGGCTTGCACAAGTCAGGGGTCCCGTGAAGACATCTACGTAGAATGGCAAGGACCATAGTAATGGAAGCCCCGATTTCGAGCATAGAGCGCCTAGTTGCACAGATGATTCGCGCTGAGCCACCTAGGTAGCGGATCGTTCCCGAGCATAGCTTCGAGAGAGTGATGTAAGACATCTCCTTGCGTTTGAGCCATGGAGAAGGCAATGAAAAAGAAGAAGGTGCGGAAATTCCCTACAAACCCTAAACCCAATAAACACCATAAAACCCTAAACCCCACAAACCCCACCTATCCCACGACAGTGCTGCAGTTCGAACTGGTTTGGAGCAACTCTTGTTAGGGTTTAGGGTTTAGGGTAACTTCCAAACGCCCAAGGAAAGATCACATTTTGTCCATAT